CGCCGCAGGGCAGCGGGGCTCCGCTGCGCCCCCTCCCGCTGCTGCCGGCCCCGCGCGCTGCAGTCACGGCGGCGTGACGGGATGCAAGGCAACGCGTCGCTGTGCGTCTCCGTTGCAGGCCTGATGTCCCGTTAGCTGGAAGGCTGAAGGCATCGTGCCGTCAAAGAACGTGTCATTCCGCAATAATACATACTCCGGGGTTTTACCGCAGTTATTCGGTGTCTTCAGAATTTACATACTCTTCTGGCAGGGATTCGTTACGGGAACAGCCTGGCACCTGCACTCGCATCTCCTGGGTTTATCTGCTCTCTGCACGTCTGTCCACTGGGGCTAAGTAGCGCCAGGAGTCGTGTTAAACTTCTGTCAGATTATCAGATGAAGACATCTGCCAGTCCAGGGACTTCACCTGTCTAAAACTAACATTCTTCTCGGTGTTAACATCCTGCCCCATCCGTGTACCGCAGAAGCTCTGTGCAAGCAGAGCTATAACCACGGCAGTAAGACCTTACACCCTTAGCGATCTGCTAATTCCTTTAGAAAAGTACCGCCTCGCGGTCACTGCATGTAAGATGATTCTTCCCGCTGTGAAGATTCATGGAAATAGCCACATGCAATGAAAGGGTTTTCCAGCCCGGGGCGAGGAAAGCAGCCGGCACTGGTTTGCTGGAGGGTGCGGATCTGATCTGCCCTTGTGGTACTCGAAACGCAGCGCGGTGGAAAGGAAGGTAGCGGCACCGGAAGGAAAGCAGCCAGCCCCCTGCTCAGCTCGGCGTGCCGCTGGACAAGCAACGGCTTCGCGGTTTCCCCCAAAACCTTCCTTAGATGGCTACAGCACCTGCAGAAGTGGGGTCTCAGCTGAGGTCACCTCGGTGGTCACCCCCTCTGTCTTCCACCCCGCCCTGGTTTTAGCTCTTTATCTCTGCCACGTGCTAAAGCTTCGGCAAATGCTCTTTTTTGGGTCATTTTAGTGCTTTTGTGAATCAGGAACCACCTGGGAAAGGGCTCCAGGCCTGGCTGAAGTTGCGGTTGCGTTCCTTCCAATACAACTTAATATTCTAGCGTGATTTACATATTTATTATTGGTGATTAAGCTATTACTACGGCTTTATTAATTTCATTAGAGGATAAACTACTGTTAGGGCTTAGTCACAAAAGCAAACAGCAGAATACAAATCTGTTTGCCGTTAGTACAGAAAAGGCACAGATCACGGGCAAACGTTGCGCTTATTTTTTTGGTGGCACAAGTCAGGTTTTGACCACCTCGAATTTGGAACCTCAGATTTCAAAAAAAACCCTCAGAAAAATCAAACCGTTGAGTGCCTTTACACCCCCAGGGCTGGCAGGTTTTCTGGAACGCTCTGTGTGTGTTTTACGGCGTGTAACTCTTGCGCGTTACCGTTTGGCAGGTGGACAGTGCCATGTCTCTCATCCAAGCGGCCAAGAACCTGATGAACGCGGTGGTGCAAACCGTGAAGGCTTCCTACGTGGCGTCGACCAAGTACCAGAAGTCCCAGGGCATGGCTTCGCTCAATCTGCCCGCCGTCTCTTGGAAGATGAAGGCTCCGGAGAAGAAACCTCTGGTCAAGAGGGAGAAACAGGACGAAACCCAAACTAAAATCAAGAGAGCGTCCCAGAAGAAACACGTGAACCCGGTGCAGGCTCTCAGTGAATTCAAGGCGATGGAGAGTATTTAACGAGAGGTCTCTCTCTGTCTTGGTTTGTTGTTTTTTTTTCCTTTAGCCCACTACTGCTACTTTCAGAACTCTACTTTTAATAATCTAAGGATTTTTCCAAAGTTTACTATTCCTCAAAATGTATTTACTTAATATAATTTTGATAACTTTGTTTAGATTACGTGGGGAAATACTCAGAATTTCTAAGTCCTATCAATATAGCTTCAGCCTGCGGAAGTGTGTTCGTTTAGATTGCTTTTAGGAGACAGGGGTGTATTTCTAGTGGAAAATTATTTTGTATAATCTTGCTTTAAATAAAATATTCTATAACCAAAGAGGATTTTACAGTAACACTAACGGTTAACACTAACAGTCGAATCGTGCTACTCGGAGACTGCAGTTTGCCATTGTGATCAAGAGAGGAAAATTAGATCTTTTCCCTCAAAAGAAAATTAATTGAAGTATTGTATGTGTTAGTGTATGCCTGCTGTTGGGTGGAGAGGGAACAAGCTCTGTACGCTCAAAGGAGCGTGAAAATACAGTGGGTGCCAGCTGCGCTGCTGCAACAGTGTGACCACAGCTGGAAAACATCTGGAAAGACTCTCTACCCTTTGCCTGGGTTGGGTTTTGCTGGGGGTTGTGTTTGGAGATGTGCGCGGCACTGCCTGGTTCTGCGACGCCGCTTTTCCCGGGCTGCGTTAGAGCTGTTTGCCCGACGGGTCGTTTCCACGCGCGCCCGGCGTACGGAACAGCCGGCGTACGGAACAGCCGGCGTACGGAACAGCCGGCGTACGGGACGCGCAGTGTAACGGGGCGCCCGGGGCACCTGTGGGTTACTTTGCCACTGGCCTTTTCGGAGGGGGTTTCACACGCGTCTCTGGGGGAGCACCCCGAGCAAATCCAGTAAAACATACAATCATGGAGGCGGCCGATTACTCCTGTAAGACACCGGACGGAAATTTTAATGCCTGGTTACAAATTACTAATGTATTTTGCTGCGGGACACTAATAAAGTTGCTTTTCCCAGCTGGTGCATTGTGGTGCTGTGAATGGAGCGGGCTCCCAGCCCGCCCCTGCTCCCCCTCCCCGGCATTCACATGCAAATCGGCTTTGTACTCATTTCTCATAATTGCTCTGCATCCCGCCTTGGGCTTCCAAAGGCACCCAGCGAATAATGTTTGCTCAGGCTGCTATTTAGACTATACATTATTTGTGATAACTATAGCTACAAGGTATAATTTCGCTGTCTTATTTAAATTTTATGAATTTCAGCGTGTTTTACACTCAGCAATAAAGTCCAGTATTCCAGAAGAAGCGCTTGTGCGGGTCAAAGTCGTGTTTGCCGTTTCTGTAACGCGCCCATTAGCATGGAAAGCAGCCTGGTCTGTAGTTAATGCTTTAAACCGCATCTAAATTTTACAGCCGATCCTTGGCAGTGTTATGTTATAATTTTATTTATTTTGATCAGCTTATAATTTACTTATATCAAGGTTATTGCTGTCATGGTACCAAAATGCTGATCGGAATTAAGCTAAATAGCTCTCGGGATATTTTTTGCCAGATTTATTATGTTTTCAAGCATTTTAGCCTCTGGAGTACAGATAATAAGCTGCATTATATAGTGGTTTTCGTACACCTGTAACACCTGCACTGCTGGGAGGGTCGGTGACTGTGCTCCTGCCGCTGGCGTTCAGGGGTTAATGAAGCAGATCAGCTGGACAGCTTGTTTTACATATAATTATTAACCGCTTTTATGCAATTTGATTTTTTTTCCCTCTCCCGGTACTAATATAATTGTCTGAAAGGTGACATTCCCTGAGCTCTTCAAAATACACCCATTTCTCCCTCCAAAATGCAATCTGCTATAAAAAAACAACCCATATATTAAGATGTACGGCCAAATTTATATGTATTCAGCTTTTAAGTACATGTTAATTTGACGCTACAAACTTAGAGCATCAAATCGGCGACACATGGGAATCTGGTCCCACCTGATGGAAGCTGG